ACCCTCTTCTGGGAAGGGGCTCTCCTGTATGTCAGCTCTGTGGTATCATCTGTGTCTTCTTGACACACTTCAATGACCTGAGACTCAGAACTGCTCAGATCTGGAAGGGACTTTGGATAAGTAAATCCCAGTTCCTCTCTTGCAAAAGAGGAACAGAGAAGGCAGAGTGACCTGCTAATGGTTAGAGAGCTAACTGGTGAGCCTTTCCCTCCGCTGTCAGGGCCTCTGTTGTCAGCTGCTCAAGAGGATGCAATTGCTCTGACTGATCTTGCCACCCATGGACTTCAGGGAGGTAATGATGCAAGCTAATGCTTATAAAGTACTTGTGTTGTGTTTGGCAAGATTATAAGTGCCATCCATGCACTTTGTTTTCATAGAAACCCTCCCAGATGAGACCAGTAATGTTCTCACGTTGTGGATGAAAACACGGAGGCAGGGAGGGGATAAGCCCCTCATCAAGCTCTCAAGCAGAGGCAGCCTGGTCTCGGCACAGATTGTCCCCAGGCCCTTTGCTCCTCTACAAGAGAGGGCTAAGGCGAGCACCTCAAAGCTGCTTGGGTTCCATCAGCACTCTGCACTCTAAAAGCTCTGGCTGACTCTACGGCACCCCATGCGGAAGAGAAGCCTTGTACAGCTCCTATTATGGGCTGAAACCTCCTGGCTCAGGGACTTGACCCCAGAGTTCTATACCATTATGGTTTGAATATGAAGCATCCCTAACAGGCTCATGGTTGTACACTTGGTCCATGGCTGGTACTGCTTTTTGGGAGGTTGTGCAACCTTCAGGATGCGAAGCTCTTCTGGAGGAAGGAGGTCACTTGGGATTTGTTCCGGGGGGGTGTCTTTTTCCTCCCTCCTTTTTCTAAGTGTCTCTGCTTTCTATCTTCTAAGAAGTGAAGAACCTGCCCCACTACACGCTCCCACCTCCACGATCCCCCACTACATGCTCCCGCCTCCATGATCCCCCACCACATGCTCCCGTCTCCACGATCCCCTATGACACGCTCCTGCCTCCACGATCCCCCACCACACGCTCCCACCTCCACGATCCCCTACCACATGCTCCTGCCTCCACGATCCCCTACCACATGCTCCTGCCTCCACGATCCCCTACCACATGCTCCTGCCTCCACGATCCCCTACCACATGCTCCTGCCTCCACGATCCCCTACCACATGCTCCTGCCTCCACGATCCCCTACCACATGCTCCTGCCTCCACGATCCCCTACCACATGCTCCTGCCTCCACGATCCCCTACCACATGCTCCTGCCTCTATAGTATCCTACCGCACACTCCTGCCTCCATGATGCCCCACCATATGTTCCTGCCTCTATGATGTTCTACCACATGTTCCTGCCACCAAGCACAAAAGGCCAAGCAATTGTGAACTGAACCATCTGAAACCATGAGCCCAAATAAGTCTTGCCTCCCATAAGCTGTTATGTCAGGTGTTTTGTTCAACATAGTGCAAAATACCCAATCCATGTCCCATAATGGGTTCTCCAGTGTTTACAGGTGTATGACTCTGGGATTCTTAGATTTCTGAAGGTTGGCCATGGCTCTCAGTGATGGAAGCTTCTTCACTTTGCAGTCCATGGACATCAGGGGCAGAGCCTGATCCTGACAGTTCATGCAAAATGGCATGTATCTAAGTTTACAGGGAGTGGAAGCCCATAGTGGAAAGGACCCTAGTCTAGTACTCCAAAAACAGCAAGAATCTTGGGGGAGGTGCTGGATGAATGGGAGTGATTACGTGTGCATATTGGCACGTCCACATGTCAGAGAAGTGATCAATATACACTCTGGTGGGAATTCTGGTAAACCCTCCTTACAGCTTGAAAAAGTTGATAATTTTCCACTGCTGGTTTAGGATTAAATGAGACCATTAAGTACCTTGAACATTTCTTGCTCAATAAACTTAATATCCTTTTTTTTTTGCTTTTTTGAGAGCATGTACCTACACCCTGCCTTTGCTCTCCTCCTCTGAAAACTATGGTAGGAGACTGTCAGGGTCCCTTGTACGGATGTGACTCATGGAGGAGAGTGGCAAGGACTGGGTGTGTCCATACTTGCTTTTAAAGGAGACACCCTATTAGCCAAGCATAGCACCACAATACAACTGAGATACCACCACTAGGAACCAGTGAATCCCAATAGCCTTCTGTTGGGAGCTGGAGCCATGGGCAACCAAGGAATGGAAAGGTTTCCCAGCTCCAGCTTTTAGAGACATTCTGTTGCTGACTAACCATTACCACTTTGTAGCTCTCTATGCTCAGTGTAGCAAGATGCTCCCCCAGTCTACCCCCAAGCCAGCTCCTCAAAACTCCATATGGGAGACAGACCTGTATAAACAGCAAGCAAAATAGTGGGAAAGGCCATGAACTGCTGCCCTGCAGAAGCTGGGAACTTCTTTAGGTAAATGGAAGAGGCCCCACCTCCTGCCACACAGGTTCTCCACAGTGATGCGTGCATAGTGTGTGCATGCTCTAGAGAGACAGGGAGGTGGTTTGGTTTGCACTGTGAATGAAAGAGTGCCTGGTCTGAGGATTGCATGGAAGGGTGTAAGGCTGGTCAAGGTTTCAAGCTGAAAGCACAGAGAACTATGGTACTGCCCATGCCCCACCAATAGTAGTGGTGAGGCAGTATACAAAGGGGCAACGGGCAGCTCAGGAAACAGAGACCATTAAGCAAGCCTGGTCCCAGTGGGGAAGCAAGTTCTGTCCCTTAACTGCTCCAGATTCTGTGGAAGGGGCTTCCTTCAATGTGCCCCATGCTGTTGGGACAGAGATGGTAAATGTGTGTATTTCCTAAGTAAAAAGCCAGCCAGACTCGATGGCTGTGGCCCCCTCCATGAATACTGCCCCATTTAGTCATTTCATGTCCCTCATGCTGGCGTGTTAGTCACATGGGTGTCCTGGCTGTCCCTTCTGCCAAGGGCATTTTTTCCAGGCATATGTTTTGTTATTGGGTTAGAGAAGATGCCATCAGCATAGAAACCTTCACAGGGGGCAGTGGCCATGGTGCCTTACCATGTCACTCTGTGACTGCGTGGCCCCATACATGGTGATCCCGTTAGAAGGCGCTGCTGGCTGTGGTGTGTCTGGCTGGATGTATCCTCTTCTGTCGATTAGGCTGTGGGAGAAGTGCAAACACAGGAAGGAAAGAGTGAAGAAAAGCTCAAAGATGACAGCAACATAATTTAAACATTTAGGCACAAGGACCCTTTGTGATGATTCTCTCAAGTGTCAACTTGATGAGTCTAGAATCACCTTGAAGATGAGTCTCTGGGCATGCCTGAAGGAGACTGTCTAGATTAGGTTAATTGGAGTGGAAAGATCTGCCCATTGTGGGTGGCACCATTCCCTGGGCTGGGATCCTGGGCTGAATAAAGAGGAGAAAGTGAGCTAGGACAAGTATTGCTCTCTGCTTCCTGACTGTGAATGCAGTGTGACCAGCTGCCTCAGACTCCTGCCACCTTGACTTTGCTGTCATGATGGAATGTATCCTTCAACTGTGAGTCAAAATAAATCCTTTTCCCATGAAGTAGATTTTATTAGGGTGTGTTATCACAATAACAGAAATTCCCTCCTACTCCTCTGTCCACTGAGATTGGCTTGAAGAGGAGCATTGTGAGTTGAACTGGGCCAAAAGAGATCTAAAGTCCCAACCCCCGTACCCTTGAATGTGATCTTATTTGTACATAGTCTTTGCAAATGTAACCATGCAAAGATAAATTCCTAATCAATTGAGGTGGGCCTCAGCCCCTGACTGATGTTCTTAGGAAGAGGTGATCATGCTGTGTGGAGAAACAGACAGAGGGAGGAGGCCACATGACAGAGGCACAGACTGGAGCAAAGGAGCTACAGACCAAGGAAAGCTGGGGATTTCTTGCCACCACCAGAGGCAAAGACGAACAAGGACTGACTCCCATTCCAGAGGGAGCATGGCCCTGCCTCAAATGCCTTCATTTCAGACTTCCAGTCTCTAACAGTGAGAACAGCTATTATTTTAAGCTCCCCTTCTCTAGACATTTTATTTAGGCACCCAGGAACTACTAAGTACCATAAAGCTTAGCACCAGAGAACCCCCAGAGGGAGTCCTGAGGCCTAAACAGGGTGGATGGCTACAGGTTAGGGCTGGAGTAGCAGGTGGTGAAAGAACAGCTCTGCTTGCATCAGGGAAGCTGCAATGAGAGGTTCTCAGAGGAACCACAGAAGACCAGATAGCTTCAAGGACCCATCAGCACAGAGCATTCTGATGGGGATCCCAAGTAGCATGAAATGGAGAAATGGAAAGTGCTAATTTCCAGTGAGCTCGGGAGCTCTGATTCACTGAAATGACACTATTTTGGAGGGAACGAGATTCCTTCCTCTTTAGGTGGCAAGAGAAACCCAGGGACTTGCAGGGGACATCATACAGAAGTTTAGAAAGATGGGGCTGGAGAGATGCTCAGCAGTTGACAGCACTGGCTGCTCTTGCAGAGGACCTGGGTTCGATTCCCAACACCCACATGGTGGCTAACAATAACAACCATCTGTAACTCCAGTTCTAGGGGATCCAACACCCTCTTCTGATCTCTGTGCGCATTGCACAACACGGGCGCACATATATACATGCAGGCGAAACACTCATACACCCAAAATAAAAATAAAAAAAGCATAGAAACAACTAGATCATCAAGAGATGTAAGGACATAAGTGATCCGTGGCCAGCACCAGACTGCATCCAATCTTTTAACGTAGCCTGACACACTCTTTGCTGTGACTGGACGTGGCCCTATTGTGGTTTTCCCCACATCTCCTAGTTCTCATGAGCTGCCCAGTGTGGCCAGGCTCCCTCCTGTCTCCTCTGTTTCTTGCCCCTCCTACTCCCTGAGTTCATCCTGCACATGAGCTTTTTTGGTCCTCCTTGACAAGCTAGACCACCTCCTTCACCATGGGGCCCTTGCACATGCTGTCCCTTCTGACTATCAAAACTCTTTGCCCCTTTCCCTAATTCCTTTCTCCTAACTCCCCATCCTTTAGATCAAACTTCACCCCCATCTCTGCATCACATGAACCTGTCACTGCATACCACTTACCCCTGCTCTACGGCAAATAAGCTGGTACCTCCCTCATGTGTACCCCACACCAAGTACAGCACTTGCCCATCACATGTGCTCAGCAGTGGTCAGGTAAAGTCCTTATTCCTGGTTTGAGCTATGGAACTGGCTTGTCACTGACCATTCCTCCTGTCAGACTTATATGAGGTAACCCTTTCCTCCAAGCCTGGCCATTCCCTGTGGCCTCCTCCACAAGTCTGGTGACAGCGTGCAGGGATCAGGATGAGGACATGAAGACACGCATTCTTGCTCACCAACACATCGTGACACCATTTATAACACATTAAAGCCAACTCAAGCCAGGTCTGAGGTGGGTGGCACTCCTCAGCAGGCTGGTCTGATAAGAAGGCCTGGGTGGCATGTGTGGGCACCTCATACATTACCAGGGGTGAGGTAAGGTAGCTAAGGGCAGAGAAGGCAAGAAGGGAAAGGAAGTGCAGAAATGAACGTCTCACCCTCACGTGTCTGTCTGGCCATCCCTGGGAGCCCATGAGCAAAGTGAGGGAGCCAGTCCTTTTCCTGTCAACCTGCCAGAGTGTGTTAAATTAATTCAATTCAATGGGGGGGACATGAAGTGGAGGCCACTGCAGCCAGTACCCTGGATCCCCACAAGCAAAACAAAATGCACCTCAGTGTGCCAATCTCAGAGCCTGCCAGCTAACCTCTAACCAGGGACTTTCCACTGAAATGCCCCAAATAGAGCTTGTTCCACTGTCACGGATCATGTCTTTGCCTTCTTTCTGCCCCACCCCCACAGACTCCCCTGCCCCTTCTGTGGACCCCCAAACTGCTTCCAGACTTGAGCTGCCCGAATCATGACTCTGCATCTGCTCATTAAGTACTTCAATGCCTTTTTAAGGAAGTAATCTAAGCAGTTCTAAGGGGAGGGCCCTCCTTGAGAAGTGAGCCTGACAAAGGACATGGACTTTAAAGAGCATTGCTCCAGTCCAACCAAAACAGCAAGTCAATCCAGTTGAGAGAGGCCATTTTGGCCGTTACACATTTTGGTCTGTAAATACATAAAGCAGGGCCACGTGCAAATCTAGGACCCTGGAATGAGAAGAGATGTGAACTAAATGCGTGAGTCAATCCCTTTCCTGGATGGTCCTACTGAGCTTTAATTATCGACTTGGCCTAGAGTCATCTGAGGAATTGCTTAGATCAGATTGGCCTGTGGGCTCTTGTGGGGATTGTCTTGATTGTTAGTCAATGTAGAGGGCTCAGCCCATTGTGGGTAGTACCATTCCCTGGGCAAGGAAGGGGCCCTGGGCTAGCTGAGCGTGAGCCTGTGCGGGCCATCAGGCTGCATCCTCCATGGTTTCTGCTCTGCTTCCTTGGCTGTGAGAGAGTTCTTCGGTTAGAGGTAAGGCGGTGTGAAAGCTTGAGTTCCTGCCCCAAATTCCTTCAATGATGGTCTGTGACCTGTAAGATGGAATAAACCCTCTCTTTCCCGAAGTTGCTTTTGGTCAGAGTGTTTTGTCACAGCAACAGAAAGGACACTAGAGCATGGACCCACGTGCATTTCGGGTAAGGGAGAAGTAGGCTGGCTCTTCACTTTTGTGCTCACCCAGGCTTCTCCAGGGCCTTCTCACCAACATGCCCATAGGAAATGGTCTAAAATGGTGCGAAATTCAAAGCTTCCTAAGATTTCCTGACTTAAGAATCCCTGAGGTGGCTTGGGGGATCTGGAGCTCTTCATGTAGGGCTGGAACCCCTCAGACAGGTCTGACTCCCCTCTCCAAGGTAGGCCCTTTCTTGAAGCCTTGCCTTCCCCTATCTGCCAGTATCCCCAGAGGAGTCCCTGAGGAGTAGACGGGTCTGCAGAGGCCCCCAGTTCAGGAGGAGAGGGGCATTCTGCACTCCCAATGTTCCTGGCCAAAGCTGGAGGAGGACCCATTTCCAGTTACCCAGTGACCCTACTCTGATGTGAGCACAGCAGTCAGACTCTGCTGTTGAATGGCTTTCGACACACAGGGGGGCTATTCATTCCTCCATTACCTTTGCTTCAACTAAAGAGGGTTCATTGAGGCTGCTAAGAGCAGGAAGTGAGCATCTCGGGAGCACAGGGGAGCTGCCTTGAAGACCAGTCAGTCACCTTGGTGATTCGTCTGTTTTACACAGTGGGAGAAAGTCTGAATCAGCTAGAAACTCCCCCAGACACCTGTCATAGACAGATACCTGCTCAATCAGTGTCTGTGGATGATGGATTAGTTTGTAAGAAATAGTTTACTCCAGTGTCACTCACAAATAATCAAATGTCAGCTGTATTCTGAACTTGCACAATTCTGATCTGTGAATACAAGCACCAATGGACACATGCTGATTCCAATGTCAGATGGCCCGATCAGGCAGCATTTGCTAGCTATGCAGTCTTGGGCATATTATTTAGATTCTGTGCCTCAGTTTACTTATTCATGAAATGGAAGACAAGGGTACTTACTTCATAAAGCACGGAAAGAGCCTTTGTAAAAGTTGATGTAGACAAGGCACTTAGAGGAGAGGCAAACAGTACATGGCAGTGCTGTCATGAATAATGTCATGTGTGTCATCGCTGCTCTCCCACCCACTCCACTCCTCCTGATCTCCCCTTGGGACAATCAGAGCATCACAGCCTGCTCCTCAGCCTTTAGCATTTGTCCCAACAGGTTTTCTAGTTGCTTTCTATGTATGTGTACTCTACTAACCACAGGCCCCAGATCATCACAGATGTCGTGTCATTTATTCATCAACAGCCTCACATGCTGCAGTTTTCCTGTTCTGGGCTACAGGACATTTCTCCTCAGTATGACATAAATTCAGTTTAAGACCAAAGAAGATGCGGGATATGACCAAATGAAACCAGGTCTCTATTTGACTGAAGTTGTGGCTACTTGTACCCAGAGGAGAATGGAAATGGCAGCCGTCTGTGGGTATGGTCAGCTTCACCAGGCGGGGGCCAGGCCTCTGCCTCTGAGCTGTGCTAACACAGACAAGGTATTTGCTTTCTCCAGATCTGTGAAGAGTGTGCTGCTCTCTGAATCTTACCTTGGAGAGATGGGCCCACACAGGGCAACACAGCAGTTTGTGAAGATATTTCCATAGCTGTAGGGATTGTAATTTTCTTTACCCCTTTTATTTGACCAAGACCCTTTGATCTGAAAGAAAAAGAGCATCAATAACACACAACGTCCTATGTGCCAATGCCAAAGTTTTGACAAACTGGACCGAGAGAATCCTATGAAGAATGCAAATCGGGGCTGGGATGCAGCTCAGAGGGAGAACACTTGCCTAGCACATGCTGGGCCCTGGGTTCCATTCCTAGCCCTACAAATCATCTTTACCAGGAGCAACTGAGGCAATTTTCTGAAGAAATAGGCTTTTATCCCAAACTTAGAAATATTCTCAAATAGTGGCTCAGATTAGGGGGAGAGAGTAACATTCTCTGGGGACAAAAAAAAAAAAGACTTTAAGGTTATACTGTGGCATTCAAAGTTCCTCTCATGTAAACCTGTGGAATTTTTTCATATTTATTCATATCTTACACCCTAAATTTTTATTTGTTGTGTGTGATGTGTGCATGTGAGTGTGCCAGGCTGTGTGCCCATGCACAGGATGCCAGGTTCTTCCCTCCTTTACTGTTTTCCACACTATTGCCTTGAGATAGTATCTCTTACTGAAGTGGAAGCTCCTGGTTCGGGTGGGGTGGGTGGCTAGTGAACTCTTGGGAGAAGCCCATCTCTGCCCCTAATGCTGAGGTTATAGGCACATGCACCCATGTCTGGCTTTTTAGGTGGGTAGTGGGGACTCAAACTCAGGTCCTTATGCTTACAGAGCAAGTGTGCTTACCCACTGAGCCATCTGCCCAGCCTCCAACCTCCAGTCTTAGTTAAATGAATGGTAACTGAAGACAAGTTAATGTGAGTCCTTCAACTGCCAATTTAGGCTGTGAAAATGCAGCCTCACGGTCTTGCTAGAACAGTCTGTTTTGCAGAGTCTAATAGTCACAGTTACCAAATCAAATGAGCTGTTTCAGTAGTTTCTTATACGATGTATTTTATCACCTTGAGTTTCTCTCAGCTTTTGTTTTAGGGAACTGGATCTGTTCTGAGACATTTAATTTGTGTACAGACGACTAAATCTATGTATGGAGAGCAAGGACGACATGTCTACTGGGAAACAGTTCCCAATATTATGTCTCCTGGGTTTCTTCTTCCCCTCTACCTGCATTATGCACAGGCAGATGGTCCTGTATTCAAGGTTCAACTTTGGTTCAGGGCAATTTCCTCCAGAAACTAAACAGAGACAGAGTATGAAAGTCAGAGTCATCCATATGTTTGCTCTGGGATGTCAGTCTGCGGTGGCCTATCATTGGTTGGGGAAATATGACAAGATATGTCCAAAATTATTTAAGAGGACTCAAAGAAACTTCCCAGGGTCAGAACTGGGTGTCAATCAGCCCATCTTAATATGAGACTAGCACAGTTGCAAAGACTAGGAAAATGTCCAATATGGACATGTAGGAAGGACCCTGACAGGCTTCCTCTGCATTCTCTGTTCCAGAGGGCTCACAGCTGGGATAAGATGCATGGACAAGGGTGACCCCTGACTTTTCACTTCCTCTTCCTCCTCCAGTGCGAAACACCAAAATACATGCTCATGTGTTGCATGGTCAGGAACTTACATCTTCATTCGTTGTCTGGTTGGAGCTGATCAAATATGTGTGGAAACCAGAGAGGCCAACAATGGACCAGACAGAAAAGAAGCACACCACGGCCTCCAGCACAGTGGGCGGGTCAAGGAACCAACGGAAAGGAGCGGAGGGGCTTGTCACTTTGCCTGGGAGGCTGGATGACAGGAGGCCAAGGGATGAACTCAGCAGGCTGGCTCTGGGCTTGCTGTCCTACCCAGCCTTCCATCTTTTCCTGCTCTCTCAGAAGAGACCTCCCTCAGGGCAGGGGCCTTGGCATGCTTTCTGCCATGCTCCAGTTCAGAGGGGGCATTCATAGCTCTGTAATGACTGCTGGACTCCCTGAGCGTCACTCACTGCTGTATAGTGGGCAACGCCCTGAGGATCTCTCACTGCTGTACAGTGGACAGTGCCCTGAGGATCTCTCACTGCTGTGCAGTGGGCAGTGCCCTGAGGATCTCTCACTGCTGTGCAGTGGGCAGTGCCCCTGGACTGTTCACTTTACCTTCATCTTTTATGACTCATGGTAGAACCGAGGGTGGAAGCTACAGCACTCAGGCCTCTGAGGAAAGGACTAAAGATTAAAGGTCCCTCTAATCATGCTCAGGAGTGTCCCACCAACAAGATCCCCCCACAAGATGGCTTCTGATATCCAGAACCTTGTGCTTCTGTGGACTGTCTGGTTTGAGAAGGGTCTGTGCCTCTGAACTGATGAGCAATTGTAACAGCAGCATTGAGGTGGGGTGCTCTTCCTTAGGGACCCCTTCCCAGCCTCTCTGCCAACCCCTGGCATAGGACACTGGCTCAGCCACTGGGCCAGGCCAGCATGAAGAAGCCAGGCATTCCTGTGCTGTGTTGTTTCCAAAGGAGGAACACCTCAGACTTCACCAGCTGTGTCAACCAAGAGTGTGGCAATTTGAAAGAAGAGAGACAGGGCTGGAGAGATGGCTCAGTGGTTAAGAGCACTGGCTGCTCTTGCAGAGGACCTGGGTTCGACTCCCAGCACCCACATGGTGGCTAACAACCATCTGTAACTCCAGTTCCAGGGGAATCTCCAATACTCTCTTCTGGACCTCCATGGGCATTGCATGACATGGGTGCACTTACATACATGCAGGCAATGCACTCATACACATAAAATAAAAATAATAAAAGCTTTTAAAAAAGAGATGCTTTTCCTGTCCCTGAAATTTATAAAATTCTATTACAAAATACAGATGTTCCTCAGGAAAGAAATTCCATTCATCTGGGCTGGATCTAGGGTCCAAATATATACCGTGTATTCTCCTAGCAATGAATTACAGGTTGGGGAAAGTAAACCTTGGGCCTTCCTTATGTTGCCAAGGATGGAAGGACACAGATCAGGCTGTACTGTGCCATCAAGGATGTTTCCAGGTTGGAAATAGTTCACCTTATATGAGAGAACTGAATCCAGTACCCAGTTCCTCATCATGTTCTGCCACGGTGTGATGACAAATGCTGTCATCTGGGATACAGGGCCACACAGAAAATGGGAGGAGTGAATGGGTTCCTGGTCTGTGGGCTGATTGTCAACATTATGGTAAGTCATAGCATCTGCCTTTGGAGAAGCAGGTGACTGGGAAGGGCCCCAGAGGACTAAAGAGGTACTAGGAAGCAGCCCCTCAAACCTGGGCTATCCCAGGGCAAATGGCTACGGTGGAGCTTTGTGTGTGCATGGGACCCAGGGACGGTGGTCCATGCGGCAGAGGTGGTGTTGTTCTAAATGCTCCCCAGTGGCCGGCTCCCAGTTGCCAGATGCCCCTTCCCATTATCCTCAGGGAGAAAGGAGGTGGCCTTCATGTCTCCCACTTGTTGGAAAGTAGAGTTGGAGTCCAGGGGAAAAGATGAAATAACTAGAGGCAAGACTGACCAGCGGCATCAAAGAGGAAGTGACGTAAGAGGCAGATCAAGACAGGATCCAAGGGAGAAGAGAGAATAAGGGAAGGAACCAAAAGACAGTTACTGAACGACATAGAGAGGCTGAACGTCAGTCTCAGGAACACCTGTACAGATCCAGAAGTTTACAACCCAGGGAGAGTGATGGGTAAGGCAAGATACAAGGATCAAACATGAACCATAAAACCTGTAACCAAAAAGCAGTGCAGAGTCAGAGCAAGGAAATGGGCTCCTACCTCTGGCTGCTTTTTGCAATGGGACCTGCAATTACTAACTATCCCCACTGGGAGGCAGTATAGCCAGTCGGTAGAGAATTGTGGAGGTTTACAGAAACAAATATTGAGACTTTTGTGTGTGTGTCCATGTACGTGCACATGTATGTGTGTGGAGGCCAGAGGCCAACCTTGGGAGTCATTCCTCAGGTGCTGCCCATGGAGCTTGCCCAATAGCTTTGAGGAGTCACTTCTCAGGTGCAACCCACAGGGCTTGTCAAGGTAGGCTAGGCCAGCTGGTGAGTAAGCCTTAGAGATCTTCTGTCTTCTCTCATCCTTCACAGTGCTGTATTTTTATTTTATGTGTATGCATGTATTGCCTGCATGTAGGTAAGTGCACCCGTGTCATGCAATGCCCGCGGAGGACAGAAGAGACTGTTGGATCCCCTGGAACTGGAGTTACGGTCAGTTGTTAGCTGCCATGTGGGTGCTGGGATTCCAACCTGGGTCTTCTACAAGAAGTGTCAGTGTTCTGAACCGCTGAGCCATTTCTCCAGCCCCAACACCCAGCTTTTAAAAATACAAATTCTGGAAATCAAACCCAGGTCCTCATGTCTGCAAGGCAAGTAAACACTTTACCAACTGAGCCATCTCCCCAGGCCCGCAAAAATGGAGCCTTTTATGTGAACGGCTCTTCTACATGTTTCAGAAGCAGTTCCTGGCTAGCAGAATGCAGTGTCACCATAAGCTTGCAGCTGCGGCAAAATGACATGAAGCCAAGGGAAGATGCAAGGTACAGTGCACTTTCACTGTCCGATCTAGTTGACAGTCAAGTGTCAAGACCTTGTGTCTTGAGGAACCACTGTACTCATCTGTGCAACAGCTGCCCCTCACTGGTGATGTGTCAGGCCGTGTTTCACAAGATCTGACTCAGCTCTCAGAGAAGCCCAGAGAGAGCACTACTCCCATTTAACAAACAAGGAACAGGAAGCAGGAAGCAGGAAGCAATGAGGTAATTTGCTTTAGAAATAGCAGAGCTGGGGCTGGGGACGTAGCTCAGTGGTAGAACACTTGCCTAGCATGTGTGACACCCTGCATTTCATTTCCAGCACTGCATATAACCAGGCATGGTGGTGCCTGGAGAGGTGGACACAAGGATCAGAGTTCAAGGCTATCTTTCATTACATGGTGAGTTTGAGGCTAGCCCGGGCTACATGAGATCCTGTCTAACAACAACAACAACAACAACAACAAAAACAACAACAATAACAACAGCAGAGCTGGGTGTTGAATGCAGGAACTCTATCCTGTCAGTGCAACAGAGGAATCTTAAGTTGGTTCCTTTCCCAATTCTTGCTGGGGGCGGGTAGCCTTAGATTGATCCCATCCCAGTTCAGGAGATATGGGCACCCTTCTTTCAAGGGACTGAGAACTTGTGGTAGCAGAAGGGAGCCATCGTCTCACATCTACTCACAGACTGAGGTACAAGCATTCCAACAACACATCTCACTGGCCCAACCGTTTGAAGTTGAAGATGTGCGCTATAACAAGATCAGGAAATACTAATCTCTCTTAAATATTTCAAAACTCTGATTTTCTTTAGAAAAGAAAAAGGAGGGGAGGGGATGGATAGATGAGTCAGCAGTTAAGAGTACTGACTGCTCTTGCAGGAGATCCAGGTTCAGTTCCCAGCACCCACACGGAGGCTAACAACCATCCATAACTCCACTTCAGGGGATCTGATGCCCTTATCTGGTTTTTGTGGGCATTGTAAAACATGGGTGCACTTATATACATGCAGACAGAACACTCATATATATAAAATAAAAGTAAATAAGTTAAAAAGAGAAATGAGGGGAAACAAGCAAGCTCCACTGGGAGCCAATTTCCTAAGAGGCTGGATGTTTGTTGACTGAATCAGAGATGGTTTCAGATGACAGCATTTCTACTGCCAGCCTCTATCCATCTCACCTAGGCCTCAAGAAGACAAAGAGCCTCTTTTTGGCCAGGAGCTGGCTGTGAATGCCTTGAAAACCCCAAAAGACTAGATTAAGTATTTATGGGATTTGCAAAGAATCTGAAAAGTGCTGGCCTGCAGGTACCCCTCCTGAGTCCTCCCTGCAATCCCAGAGAGCAGGTGGGGACCACTGGTGTCCACCAGTGGGTGGGGAAGGACCAACTCCCTTCTCAAGGGAATAGGCTCTGCCCCAGAGGGAAGGGGAAGAAGGGGAGGAGCCGCACAGATGTGGAAGCAGAGCTGGGCAGAATGGTGAGGGTGCTTCAGGCTTGGGGGAATCATAAATGGCAGGAGATCACTGAACTACATCTTTAGTCTTTTTGGGTTGCTGCTCTTTTCTCAGAAATATGCACAGAAACATAATCGTTCTTATAATCTCAAAAGTTTAAAAAAATTCTCCTTAAGTGCCTTCTTACCATGGAGACAAAGGGACCTCAAGTTAAGATGCTCTACTTGTTCTGATCCCTTCCTTTTAGATAAGCTAAGGCCTAGAGTGATCAAGTCCCTTATAAGAGATCACATAGTAGTTCGTGGCAGAACAGAAGTGAACCTGATCCCTGGACTTCTAGGAGAGAGAGAGTCTTTCCCAAGCCCCTAAGCCATGGTAGCATTATATAAAGGCATAACTTTGCAGGCCTCAGAGTTCACGATGGAAAGACCAAGACTTCAGGTGACACTGAACTTTGATCACAGTCTCATGGCCTCAGAGCCACTGTATGTGAAAAATGTGTCTCTGGTCAGTAATTGATCTCACAGTCCAGAAATCAGGCTGGGGATTTGTCTCTTCCTCCTCTTCCTCTTTTGCCAAATGTGAAATGTGGATAATGTTTGTTAGTGGGTTTCCTTATTAACTAGGATTTCTGGGGTTTCTAAATGGCCAGGGAGTGCCCACATTCAGGGCCATGCACGGGCCCTTTCCAATGTCCTAGGCAATTCCTTGCTGGGGGGCTG